TACCAGTTAGTTAACATAATTTTTGTGTGCACCTTCTTAATTAACGCTAGTCATCTATTTGAGCAAACTTACACTACCGATAATTTTTTAAAGGTCATATTATTACGTCATCTACTTTGTTAAACTGATCATCAAAAATTCCGTCATACTTCTCTGATTTAAATGCTCCTAATTAGTTTAGAAATAACACTATACATCCATCGTTGAGCTGCTTAATTTCAAACTTCTCAATTACTAAACTTATTAGATAACTAGTTAAAATAAATAGCCTGTTGCATAATTCTATTTTAGGTTTAAATTTAATTACGTTGAATTATTATCTTCAAATATACTGCTAAGCAGACTCAGTCAATCAATTAATAGCAACTTAAAACTACGTACGTACGTGCGTATATCAGTTCATGTTGTCATACCACATTAGCACAGAGATGTAACTGACAATTCAAATCCAATAGTAGTAGAGGTAGTAAAGGTATTAGCAGTTGTCGGATAGGTTAGGATTAGAAGAAATTATTCAAGAACTAGAATCTAGTGAAACAGACTTAAAAAGATAAGGATAAATTGAAGAAATAAAATGTTTAGGATTTGAGAGAACACAAAGAATGAATGCACCGGCGCTATTTCAAACGGTTTTGAGCCATGTCATTCAGAGTCTCTAACCATCGATTATTATCATCTCGCAACCTCAACCAGGTAGTCGACACCTATCAACATGGCTCAGTCCACTTGTCAGTGACTTCATGGATTTCTGTCATGTTTTGGTCTGGCCGCCCCTAGCTTTCTTCCAACCTATTCCTACACTACAAAACAAAGCTCGTCGAGGCGGTCGGTGGTTAGGCATACGCAGCACATGTCCCAACCACATCAACTGATAAAGTTTCATTACTTCATCTCTTGATCTGCCATTGTTACCTAGCGTTGCTCAATCGGTTGTCCCAGGATATACGAGCAATGCTTCGAAGACACCTATGATCGTTCTTTGGTTAGCAAACGGATATCTCGTCTACTCCATAGGTGACGCAAGTTGGCAAAAGTCAATCCAGCTTTCTGTATCCATGCTGAGATTTCGTCAGTCATCAGGCCGTCAGCAATGATGAGACTCCCCAGATAAGTGAAGCGGTCTACACAGTCGACTACTTCACTCCCTATCACTAGGTCAGGTGTCGATGAAACCCAATCTTGAAGCAACATTTTGCATTTCTAGGGGGAAAATCGCATCCCGAACATGCTTCTATTGTTGCTTAAGTTGGTCAGAAGACTGCATTTTTTCAGCGTCTAAGTCAGCAAGCGATTTTCCTGGTAGAAGGTTAAGCAGACTCATTGCCATTTATTTGCCATTGACTTTAACCTAATTATGAAACCTATATATTACCGTACAGTTAAAATGATGGGAATTACTTTATTACATGCTTTTAGTTTTTGAAAAATTATACCATCTGAAAGAACCAATACAACACGGTCACTGGAATCAGCTTCTAGCGGTCAACCACGAATTTTAGCGTTAAATTTCCAATATCCTGCGATAACAAGGAATTCCACATCTACTAGTAAATCTAAGTCTAACAATACATGAACTTGTGAATTAATATTATATTTTCATAAGGTGTTGAATAATTAATTCATGAGTAACAGCAGCGAATTCTATGGCGATGCTATATGACAAAAATAAATTATGAATTGTCAGTAGTAATTATGGCTTTTATTCTTTAGAAGTAGTAGTTATTTTCAAGTCCGATTGAGTACTTATAAAAGCATACACTCTTCAGGTTCATCTATTCTATTTTGAGATAACGAAAGGTATAATTTGCTAAACGTACTTTCAGTCAAGTTTCCGAAATGACTAGTTTACGAACCTAACTTGTTTTTTCAGAATTACTTTGTGAATTTCTGAGTGCCTCATCTTTGCGCTTTTTTCAGATGCTATCCTTTCCTGAATGATTTATTTTTCACTTTTTTCAATCAGCTATAATCTGTTTAGAAGAATAAATTAGACATTTAAATACACTAACTATACTGTTGTCCTGTGGAATTAATAAGTTACTCAGTCAGTGATCGGTTTCGTTGTTTTGTACATTAACTGCAAATTAGGTGAAAAGATGACCAACTCATATACCATTCATTGTTTCAGTCACTCATACGCAACATGGAATTTGGAATGCGCGTGCATTGTTTCAAGTTACTACACAACAGTAGCACAGCAAGATAAAGTTATGAAAGCGAACCACAGAGTGGTAGAAAAGGTAAGACTGAGATGATATAATACGAGACATCATATATGGTAGTGGTATAAAAAGGGAATTATCAGATAAATTAAACTCTAGGGATTTGCACGAAGACAAAGTTTGGGTGCATGTGTCATCACAACCGATTAGGAGGTAGACCACTTAAATTTTTCCGGACTGACCCCCAACTAAGTAATCTGAGCTTACCTATATGACTCAACACAAAAGCTGATGGCTTCGTTGAATGAAGTCACATTTCGCTTTCCTTGCTCCTAGTTTTCTTCTAACTTACTCCTACACTAGTCAACATCGCGTTTTGTGGTAGGCGGTAGATAGATACAGGTGATGCATGTACCATTCACATCAGACGACAAAGATTTACTAACTCATCAACAGATTTCCTATGCTTGTCTAGTATCCCAAGTCTAACCTCAGAATTGCTAACACAATGGTTCAAACACATATAGGCAATGATTCTAAGGGATTGATGACTGAATACTAGCAACATATGAATATCTCTTATTTTTAAACGCCGCGTTTCTCCGCCACAAAGTAAAATGGAGTGAACCTCCGCGCAGTAGACTAGTCTTTCCGCTGGTATGCGGTCATCTCAACTACGTCACAAGTTGGCAAAAGCCACTCGATATTTCTGAATCCGTTCTAATATCTCGTTAAACAACAAGACTGATGAGACTTCAAGGATAAGCTGTGGTAGATGCACTTAATAATTGTACTTCTTATCATTAGTGTAAGTGTTGACGCAAGTCAATCTTAAAGCAACATTTCGCACTCGAAGGGAGAGGATCGCATCTGAAACACGCCTACATTATTGCTCAATACGACCAGAAGCACGAATTCTGCCATCACCTTCACCAAACATAAGTCTTGAGTTTATTCTAAATCAACAAGTGAATCTCCCGGTAGGAGATTAATTCCTGAGAAATCAAACGACGTGAGTGCTATCTTTAAGTATCTATTCGTAAGCTTGTAGTGCCTCCACATATATTTCACTTCTCTCACATCTAACTTGGTTAAGCCCTTTCGATTAATTTATTTAACCAAGCCATTTGTATTGCAACAACTTGTATGTACCATTGGTATTTTTTATTATCTGGTTTGTATGAGCTAGTATGACTGAGCATTGCTTAACGCCTACGCACATATGCATCCTATTCGCTTTAATATTAATCTCTTCAATACCACGATGACTCAGACATTTTCCTTTGTATATATACGAACATTTTAATCTTATTAATTCATTCGCACATTCGCATATTCGCTCACTAGTCTGTCTGCCCGGTCTGTCTGTGGTCTGCTGTTATTAATTGTGGTGTGCTTCAATAAACGTATACGCTACTTGGAATTCATCTTCTGATTTATTAACCGTCAGACGTCAATTGGATAAGGTAGTCTGAACGAGCTTATCACGAAACGTAAGAACACGCATTAAGCCGGCACACCTCAAGCTAAATAACAATGTGAAAGCGAACATCACCGACAAACAGTTCTTGACGGTGAAAAGCCATAAGCTCTACCTTGATCAATAGTTTTCGAGTAGTCGGCTCGTACACTGTCTTTATACTTTTTTGAAACCCTTCCATAACAAATATCGCCATAGAATCCGTTGATTAATGAAGCATATTGTCTTAAGGTCAGGAAATACAGATATGAGTGGGACTTTGCAATTGTCTGTTTTGAAACCTGAAAAATGGCGAATGGCTGGTCTACACATCTACATTGAGATCTGAAACCAGGTTCATTCTCCTGTTTCTTGTTGTATTTTGGACATTGTAATGGTCAAACTCACTCCTGTGATTATTAAATGAGGATTTGTTGTCTTATAAACCGGATGGTTAGCGATAGAGTGTAGTCACACAGGATTCTCTGCAGTTCTTTGCTAATATCTCAATATCTAGGATTAACTTACTATGGCCCACTGCTTTCCATCGCTTTAGATTAACTTCAGTCTTCTATTAAAAGTAAGGAGGCTCATCGTAATCTTTCAGTCTGGCTGTTCTGGAATAGTAAATGACCGAATTGTAGTTGGGAAACAATTGATTTGCCTTCGAAGTGTTTATCACACAATTCAGTGTAAGCTGAGAGTAGATTAGCCTTCCTTGTACTTCCGATATAATCTCACTAACACCCAACCCTTTGATAAGTCTGAATTTTTATCTATCACTGCTAGACTTTCCATCCTTTTTACCTTCGCTGTCTACTACTGCTTGCGATCATTGTTTAATGTGTTAGTTATTCCGCGCTATAAGTTACCATCGCTCCTTGTGTTTGGGGTTCGACAGGAAGCGTTATCGATCATTTGCTGATTCAGGATAAACCATTGAAATTCATTAACCTTCCTTAATCTTCTGGTTCCAGTTACTAATATGTATTACTGCTATCTTCATCCTTGCTTATTGTTTGGGATGGACAAAGCTTCAGAAATTGTTCATATTAAACTATCAAGACATTTTATTGCAAAAATTAATGGTATGAAAGACCATGAATCCGTAGATAATTTTTGCCGAAAATAAACAAGAAGTTTGAGCTTATGACTTCCTATCAACCACAATGCAATATCTAGCACGATTTTAGTGAACTTCATAAGAAGGTAGTTAATAATGTTTACGCTCGGCAAAAAATAATAAACAAAAGCTTAATATAAATAAGATAAAACTATTTTTCTTAATCATGGTCACACGTTCCAATGCAAAGAGTATAAAAACACTGGACATTACCCAATTAAGAGAAACTTCATTTTTAAGACAAATTATGAGGTTGAAAAAATGTTTTTTTTTACGTATTTTTTTATTTTAAATGGGTCAAAGCCACATAACTGCATCGGTAACATAGAACAATGGACAGAAAACAATGGAAATAATAGTTGATCACAGTAAAATGGAAAGTTTCGGATTTATCCATGCATGTATAAATATAGACTAATATATTATTCCATCCGTAGTATGAGTTTTTATGGTGCTGTGTTTAGTTAAAATGACAGTAGTAATTGATATTAGTATTCAGACACACCTCTTCCGTGTGATCCAAAGCCTCCACCAACAGGTCTAACCAGACGCATTTGAAGATGATTTTTGAAGTGATAAGGAGGATTACACGGTACATGAGAAGTTGTACCAGGGAAACCAAGGCCTGAACATAAGTGCGAAACCATAGGTGTTTGATGTGGATAAATGTTGGGAGAGTGTTCTTCTTGACTGAATTTGTACTTACTAGAACCCGAGGATAGAGAGTTGTACTTTGAACAAGTTGCAATTTCTTTCATATCACAATGGTTATCTATTGGATAAATAGCCTCATGATCATTAGGACTCGAAAAATTACAAGAGGATGTCAAATTAATGTAAGCAAGTCCAGCAGGTTGACCATTAGAATCCAACATGCGAACTGTCTTCATCTGAAATCCATTACTTTCACTATTCAGACATTTCTCTTTGAATTCGGTAATGCGACGTAATTGGTATTCTAATTGTTTTGTCGCTAAGTTAGTCCGTGATAACTGGGTCCTTAGAGTCTAAAATAAAATATGTTGAATACAAAGTAAAGAAAATTATTACGAGGAAAAGTGATACACGAGAGAATGTACATTGATAGTGGTTTGAATCGTGAACAGAACTATAGGCTGCATTGATAGATTTTTTTTGGAATGAGTGCTATTTTCTGAAAGTAAATCACAAAGGCGTAGATAAATCAAGTCTTTATCTTCACCTGAATTACGAATATCTCAATATTTTAGTTTTGCCCCAAGCATTTTTTCATCTGAAATCTACCGCTTTTTGATTAACTTTATTTTTTAAGTTAATTATCTACTGATGTGTTTAAATTTTGTGCGGTTTAGAAGAGACAAACAGAGATGGATAAGAGATAATCAGTATACTTGTGTTCGACCTCCAGTCCTAGGTTTTAGAACTGCCTCACAATTCGAACATAATACCACACAAAAAATCGAAATAAAATTCATGAATGGAATTGAGGTGACATAGGTATGTGGTTCAACTGACTTGACAGTAAGTTCTCTCTAATTGAGATTCACATGCTGCGTTACGATTTCGAGTACTCCTATTTGGAACTGTTTGAGCTTTTTCTTGGAGTTCAAGCAAAGTCTCTACTTGGTCACGGGGAAATGATGTGATTTGTACAACCCGTCGCCAGTGTTAGGTCTGCTACTTGGTACAGCTAGTACGAAATACATTGGTTGTTATAACAAGAGGAACTGCCCTCCGCGTTGTAAAGCGAAAGTCCTCATGAAGTGACTCATATCCAAGTATCTGGTGAAGGATTGAATATATATATATATATATATATGTATATATATATATATATATATATATATACGAGATGTATACCACAGAGGAATCAGTTAAAAAAGTCATGAGGAATTCAGAAGATTAGGATTTGCGAGAGCACAAAGAATGAATACACCTGTACCTTTGCAAGCGGTTTTGAGCCATGTCATTCAAGGTCTCTAACCATCGATTACTATCATCTCGCGGGCCCCAACCAGGTAGTCGATATCTGTTAACATAACTTAATACAGTTGTGGGTGACTTGATGGATTTGTGCCATGTTTTGCTTTGGCCACCCCCAGGTTTCTTTCAACCTATTCCTACACCGCGAAACATAGCTCGACGAGGCAGTTGTCAGCGTGCATATTTATGAACAGAAAACCAAAGAATTCAAATAGGCTTCGATAAATAAAACACAATAAAATGACTTTTGTAACTTGAATTCACAGCTCACTAATTAGGTCGTTTTTTAGTGAACATTTCAGTGGATATATAAGCACCAAAATAAGAACAAGAGGTTATGAGGTAAGTTCAAATAATACAAAAAACTGAAAGCCTTCAGCTAAAAAGCCATGAATGACTAAAAGAATCAACATTATAAAACGACTACTAATAAAATCATGTCAGTTAATTACTGAATTCGGAGTAAAATTAATACATACACCACTAAGTTGGATGTTCAAGTTCGCATGTACATATCTGTTAGATACATGGGTTTAAATAAAACATGGTACAAATCTATGAAGTCGCCGACAATCGGTTTGAGCCATGACAGTAATTGTAGACTACAATGTCAGAGTCCGCGAGACAACAGTAACTGATGGTTACAGACTTTGAATGAAATGTCTCGAAATCGCTTACAATGACGCAGATGCATTCACCTTTGTCTTCCTTCAAATTCTAATCTTATGAATTCCTCATGACCTTTATTTCGTTCTTTTTAGATTTATTTAAATGGATTATACTTCTTGAATATTATCTTCGGACCCTAATCTCTCGGATTACCGCTAATAATTCTACTAGATCTACCACTATGGGATTCGAATTGGCGATTGAATCTCTGTGCTAATGTGATATGTCAACTCGAACTGATGTACATACGTACGAGGTTCTAAGTTGTAACTAACTGACTGAAATGGGTTTAAATACAAATCAATTTATGCTAGCCCCACTAAGAAAATCTTTAGGGTGTTAAGACATTAGACCAGTTTTCGAAGCTGGTATGAAGCATCTGTTGGTAAAATACATACTACAAATAACTTACCTGGATTTCATCAACCTCCTCCTTAACTTGAGCGGCTAGGTTCTCCACTTCCGACTGCTTTTTGCTCGCACATTTGCGTGCGTACTTTCGGTTTTGCAGACGACGTCTCCGATTACGAAGTTCCTTGTGTTCCTCGATCGATAAGCGCTGTTTTTCTAGTAGCAAACGAAGATCAACTGTTGTCATGTTAACCAACTCATCATCAGTCAAATTCAAACTCGTCATAGTTCCTGAAAGACTGAAATTATCGCTAGTTAAAATACCATTCAACGGATAAAAAAACTGTCTAGATTATAAAATCATACTTTCTAACAGCAGAAAGGACGAGTAAGGAGCCGGCATTACTCTGCTACTTTTTCAACGTCTATCATACCAACTGAAAAATTTTTATTCCAAAATCAAATTGAAGGCGGAACGTGGAAGATTTTTAATGCTGAGATGCTTTTCTGTTAGTTTATTCTGCTTCGTTCAGTCGTACGCGTCTTAGTCTTTTCATGAATGGGAGCCTAATTGTATCCAACTGTGAAGTTTGATATAATCATAAAAGTTTGTAGTTACCGTGCACAGTAAGATCTCGCCAAATACCTACGGGGGAAAACTGGAGACCTATTTTCACCCTAAAATGATAGTCATACTGTTATAAACTGTTTACGCAATCAGCTATAACCAATAAACTGCTTGAAAAGATTACAACAGAATACTGTACAAAATTGTGACAAAGCTGGTTATTGAGAATATTATCTACAATATATTAAAATAGGCTGAGTTGACGAAAAACTTGTTTATCAAGTGAACGATGTTGTAAATAAATCTTAACCTAGTCGCATGAGACTGCAATCAAGAAAAGCCTACGCTTTTACAGAGCGTTGGACAGTAGGTTGATGTGCAAGTTGATTTTCTTAAGCATGAAATTTGAAATAAGCGCACTACACTCTGATAAGCATTATCTGACTTATACAAAAGAGATTAAAATAATGTCTAGGTTTAATATATATTTATCATAGGCTAGCGTGAACCAATGGGCTTATTTATGCTCTTGTCGCTGTTTTGGTTTTGTCCCAAGTGAATAAATATGTTTTAGAACCCATTACCATCATGAGTCACTTATTTTAGTTCACTTTGTAATTATAATAGACAACTACGCAATTTTCCCCATTTACCCACAAAAAATTTGGTAGAACGAATTTTTTACATCTCGAGCAAAACAAATGTTTTTTTTTATCCTAACTGGAGATAGAATTTACATTTTGAGAAAGCTCGTCTACATGTTCTCAGAGATTGCCTTAAAGCTAAAATTAAAAAGCCTTCATCTCACCCCTATTAAAATAATAGTACAAAAACAACGCCAATTAGCATCAACAACAGAACGTCTTAGACGTAATAAAACAAGTGATTTTAATAGTATGAGAAACTGAGCTGATTAGGATAATATCACATGATCACATGGAGATATCAACCAGCACTGGTTGATGTTACTTTTGCGTGAAACAATCAAGTACATCTCTGATAATAAGAAATGGTCATTTACAGTGAACTAGAATTCTGCAGACAACTCCCCCAAGAACTGACCTTATAGCAATAAATTATGTATGACGACCTTGTTCTGTCAGGATTCCCGCTCTAACACAATGACTATGTAACGATCAAGTGTAAACCAAAAACATACCTATTCAGTATTTTTACTGTTAAGATACGATTTAACAGTGAATAAATCCTTTAATTGTGCGTTTTCCAGTTAACTGGTTAGCTCTCGTATATTTTTACCATGTCCGTGTCCTCGCGGGCACACAAGGTTAGATACAATTATCGTAAGGTCATAAGTTAATTAAGTGTGAAACAAAAGTCTCCCCTCAGTCGAAACTTATTCTCTCTCGCTGGCTCGACGTTGAATGGCTGATGTGACTGTAGGCACTCGATATTCCATTAGCTCGATATAGTTCCCTCGTGTGCAGACCGTCATGCATTTCTGGGATTTTGGAATTTAGACAAGCTTGATATATTGATGAAGACATTCTTGTTGTTAGATCAGCTGCTCCATCTGTTTATTGTCCTACACTTCGTAGCTAAATAAAGGCTTTCCGTAGCATTTCACTGTTTTTACCAAGAGCTAGAAGTAATTGTGCATGATGTAGTTAGAATACTGCTTCAATCGACCTGGACGTTTATTTTCAACAACTGATGCCCTTTCAAAGGTCTTAACTTTTGGACGATTCCAAAAATAGCTTAAATGTGTATTTGTATCTTAAAGGTCGGAAATAAAGTTAATATGTACTCATTAAATTTATCTATGTTTTAAAGTAAATTATAGTGAAAGACTTAAGATGCTCGGTTGGCATTAAGAGAAAGTCGTACTGAAACCAAAAAGTACCCGTTCCTATGATATTCCTTGTTTTCACGAAAGAACACCTTCACCTAGGTGCCAAAATTACTCAGATGGATTTCACTGATCCACCTCTACCTTGGCTCAAAAACTACCTTGAGGGTATATAAAGTGAATCAGAGCTGATGAGTATCAGCATCAGAATTTTTACTAGGGACCCTCTAAGTCCCACTGTCCTTCTTGATATTCATTGAAGACCTGTTAGATCAAACTGACTATATAGCACTAATTTATTCAGATGACGGTAAGATCTAGTGAGTCATAAGGAGCGAAGAAGATTCATTTGAGGCTCAAAAAGAAATGACGATAGGCAGTGAACAGTATGGCCGAAATTAACCAGATGAAAATTAGCATCGTGAATTTTCTAACACGGGGACACAAGTAACTTACGTTCTCAATGGAAGTCTGGTCCTAAACATTTTCTCAGAAAGTGAACCTAGGCCTAGCAACCACAGATTGACAGGACACTAACTAACCAGGGCAAACTCAACCCTCACTTTTGGCAAAGTTAGATTAGTGCTATCGCCCCAAAATTGTTCTTAACTCTGTTTAAAACAATCATACTACTACAGCTTGAATTTCATGATCTTTTCCCCTATCTCCTCAAAAGAGATAACATTCTCTTAGACCGGGTGCAGAGACGAAAATATGAGTGGGTAAGAGGGTTTATAGTATGAGCCTGACGAGGACAGACTAAAGACTTCGGATTCATCCCGTTGAGTTATAAAAGAATCTGAGGTGACCTGATGATTTCATTCAGTATATTTAATACACCTAGTCACCCCCTAAACGAGTATCGTACCAGCTAATCTTTATCACTCCCTTCAAGATAACCCCTAAAAAATTGCATATCAAAAGCCAGCAACCAAGAAGTTAACTGTACCTAACTGAATAGCTCCATCGACCGAAGTGACCACCACCTGTCCAGTGAATAGCTTCGAAAGGAAACTTGAAAAACACGGACTAACACAGGGATTATCATCTGTTAGGACTAGTTGTTCATGATGCCTGTCTCTTTCCTTCATATCACTAACTTATTCTATCCCGTTTATTATCTTATTTTACTCTCCCTTGCTCACATTTCTGTCTTCTTGAACCACCATCATTACCAACTAATTACCTTTTTATTTATTTATCCTCATTTTTGAAATCTCAATAGCAAGAAAATTTTCTGAATTTTCTAAATTGAAATTAACTAGTCCCCTACCTGGTACTAAGATTTCTGCTGTTATCCAGTACCCATACTGCACCCAGATAAACTCAGAAAACATAAGAATATAAAACAGCAATCTGAATAATTTCATAATGAAAAAATAAAACAATGTGACTGTTACTACTTTCGTAAGGATATTCTCGAAGTTCTGGCGGGAAGACGTGACCACTGAAGTTCAACCCTGTGGGATGTAGGTACTAACAACTCAAGATAGCGGGTGATCTTGCGCAAAATCCATAGACAGCTATTCAGAATTAGACTTTAAAACCGTCGGGTTTCAGCTCCATGGTCCAGGGATTAGGCGCTCGCGCACAACCGAAGGACCTAGGTTCGATTCCACTACTATTCGTAGCGTATTTGAACTTTTGATGTGTCCCTTATTAGAAATAAATCGGCGTTTAATAATTTCAGGATTCGAATGTCGGTTCAATGTTCAATTCACGATTTCGATGTAACAGAGAACTGTCAAATAACTATATTCGTTGAAATTGAGCGGCTAGATCTCCGTCCATCGGACACTTCCGAATACCTGGAAGCGTAATTAAAGAAGAAGAATCGAACACAAAGCAACCAATTCGTGTAGGCTAGTTCCTGAAAAATATATTGGATATTGAAGTGTGTACTTTCAAAGAGCGGATCTACGACTGATCTTGTAGTTTACGCTCTCTTTATTTTTAGTTGCGTTTATGTGAGTATTACTTCCTGATAATTATTTCTTGTTCGTTGAAGATTACATTTAGTTATTCTACCATCAATACACTGGGTTTTACACTGAAACTCATGTTTCCATAGTTGTAACTGTTGAAAATTAATAAATTGTATTTCACGTTTTTCGCAAATGTATCTTATGTTTTTATTCTGATTGATTAGTAATTCTTTACTAATAATCAGAGATGATTTAATCTGAAATCTTTTTATCTCAAATCGTTTTTTGGGCACTGAAAACGGTTGCTTTATACAAGTTTTGTAGCTTAGTAAGCATTGTGTGGTGCGGAGGACAGAGCAAGGAATACTTGTTGTGGTTCTTAAATGTCAGTGACAGACCTACAGATATTTAATATGAGTTAAAATCAAATAGTTAGATATTGTAAGACCGGTTTTATTATTTCAGACTCATCCTCATTATAAATTTAATTATTCGATGATGTACGCGCAATAGTTCAGAACACAATGAGTCTCGGTAAACTAGACAGAATCAGTCTGAAAAAATTAAGGAATCGATGATGAAATGTATGTATGAGTGTATAATACAGTGTTAAAATAAGTAAAAATATCTAATTTAAGGAGTTGCTTGCAAGTGCTGAAACTAAGCTGGTTGAGAGTGTCAAAATAATACATAATTTCGTTATCGCTGAACAATTTTTTCACATAATGTACATTCATGTCAGACTCATGCTTACAAACTAAAAAAAATTGAAGACACTAGCTTATCATATCATGAACGATAATCAGTAGTGTAACAACTCAAAATGAGTGGTGAAGAAGTACTGCTTATTGCAACCGACAACCAATGAATTAAGTATATTAAGACCAGGTGAGCAGTATTAGATTTAAACCAAACTGTTTACCATCAGTAATAGATTAACAAAGTGGATAAGTCCCAAAACTCGACAAAGTCAATAATACAGAAAGATTTTCTTAAAAGTTCCTATATTATGATATATATATATTACAGACCCTCGCGCTCAATTTTTGAATGCTTGTTTCATTGATTATTTGGTAGTGATTCTAATTAAGACAAATACTAAGTTTTTAACTCGTTATACTTAGTCAGACAATTAATACTCTACTGATTGCAAAAAAAGAAACCTTTTGTTGATATAACTGAAACAGTAGATGGTAAAAGAGATAAAGTAGGAAAAAGCGAAATTTTCAATTTTGGGGATCATAAAGAGTCTAAAAAATTGAAAAATGTGTCAGGGCTATTCCTAGAAACATAAGCACTTGTCTACAAATCTTCAGTTGGTTGGTAGCATTAAAATTTACTGCGCAACCAACAAGCGTAGGACATTAATTCAACCATTTGGTTTTTATTTTTGTCATTTGAACATACATGCATCTCTCCTACTTTTGAAGAATGAACTTTTGTAAATTCCTTAGTGATCTAAATTATTCATGTGGCTGTTTGTTAAATGGGACTTATAAGTATAATATGCAATAATATAATATACCTTCCTCATTAAACGCTTCCAAAAATCTGGCCTTTTCATTAGGTTGTTAACAGATCAAAATCATGGAAGTGGAATAGCTTCTAGAAACATATCGATAAACATTACATAACCCTCAAATAATAGATAAATTTAAAGTTTGTATTCTCCAACGTAATAGGTTTAACCCTTTGATCGGCTTCTTATATCCGAATTCAGCCATTTGACACTGCTAGTTATACGTTTTAAAGGCAAAAACATTTTCAGAGAAACAAGTTACGATATTAGATTCATTTTGCACGCTGGCTGCTTAACTGGATATTGTCGAGAGAAATAAATTTAGATTTAGTTACTTTGGTATTTCATTGACATATCATGACCCATTAAATAATCTCTTTTTGATCAAAAGATTAATTAGATATTTATCGGCCTTATGGTTGATGAACAACTAGTGACAAATATTCCTTTGCCAAATGCAGATGATTCAGATTTGTTAGATCCAAACTGTATTCCAGAGAATCCGAAAGTGATTACGTTTGAAGAAGTGAAGGCTGCTAGTGAACGCATAAAGCATGGAATAATTTGTACACCATGCAAAGTAAGAATTAAAACATGAAATGCATCTGCATATGTATTTTATAGAAATCTCAGCTATCATCAGAGTGCAATATGGATGTTTATTTTAAAAAGGAATTTCTTCAAGTAACGGGAAGGTTAATATATTTAACTTTTTGATATTCTTGATAATTCTTTTTTTTCGATAACAGTTTTAAAGAAAGAGGAGCCCTTAATGCATTACTACAATTGACGCCAGTGAGTAACAATTTAATTTTTTTATGGTTTGGTTGTAAAATTTAAAAATCAAATAATAAAAATATTAGCATGTTGATCATTTGATTCATTTAACCCACCAAAGTCGTGTTAGGCATTGGATCGCTGAATTCTATTTTATCATACAACAATGTTCAATTTTTATCATCTCGTTACGTTAAGTATATTGAAATTCGATTGTTTAAACTACTTCCTTACCAAAATCTCCAAACTTATTAAAAACAATAAAATCTTGTTAATTTTTCAAACGAACGTTCTAGCAATTTTAGAAATTACTGTTATAATAAAAGACTGTTATGTTTAACCGAATAAAGAAATATTTCAGCTATCTCATTTTGAAGCACTGCAGCCTTGCATCGAAAATTCCAAGAAGGGAATATGCTTAATATGCACTAGTTTTTAAAGTCGAACATTTTAAAAACTGATATCAGCTTTTAAATGAACGTCTGATGAAATATCTAACCTCTTTTATATTTTGGCTGAAGTCAAATAGTCAGAAAACGGAATCTATACTAATATATCCCATCTTCATAAATAAACACATACAAAAGTCTCAAAAATGGTAGTTCTTCGGTAAGGCCAAAACCAGCAGTCTAAGGAAAACGATGGCTTAGCTAACAGAGCTTGTTATTTTTTACCGGTCAGTCACAATTTTGAACTTCAGTTTACCTACTTCCACTTACTCAACCAAGTAGTATCACTAACTTTTACACTAATATTATATGCAAAGGCCGAGCACATAAGTCCGTATTCAATAAATAAATTACATTTTGTAAATGTACGTAATTGGGTTACATTCCATACTTTTGAAATGAAGTCGAAATATTTCCACTTATTTCATTAAAATTCAAAAACATTTTTGACTTGAAATAAGTACCACTTCTAAATATTACGTTTACGCCATTATCCAGCTTCCGCAGATAAGGATTGGAGATCAAGTGACATCTGTTGATCCGTAATGTGCAAAAAACAATAGAAGATATTTACTCCACACATTCCTGCAGAGAAATATCATATGTAGACGATTTGATTTTTGAACCTGCTAGGAATGTTCCTACGAATTAATAATCCTAGATGGAAGAAAAAGATAGGACATAAATAATATCGAAATTATCTTTTAGTGCATGATGTCAGTAGTATATCACTTTACAGACCGTGACAAGATGACTGAAGTAAATTAAGGCATCAGATTGATTTCTTGTTTAAGCAAAATAATTACTTTTAATTAACGATTATTTGTGGTTAAGCTGTTATATTTTTATTCCATGCGAATCTGGTTGTTTTGTTCTAGGAGGAAGCCAAGCGTGGTGTACTCGCATGCAGTGCTGGAAATCATGCACTTGGCCTGGCATATCATGGTAGTTTGTTAAAAATACCAATTACTATTATTATGCCTGTAAACTCAAGTTTAATGAAACAAGAACGCTGTAAGAAATATGGTGGACTTGTTTTACTAAAGGGCAATAACATTTTTGAAGTAAGTCAACTACAAATTCAGTTTGGGTTTTTTCCTTATCATTTCACTGTTATTCAAATTAAATTAACCAGTAAAATAGCTGAGATTATTTTAAGCCACCTCAATATATAGTTATTTTACTGTATCCAACAATTTCATTCATATTTTCGTTGCATACTAAAGTGTAAACTTCATTAAGGATTGCGGGGCAAACGTATGAACAAGCCAGCGTAACGCAACTTACCATCCTGGCTGGAAAACACAAGAACATCTCAGGATGGAATTTCCAGTGAAAATTACAAACTAATATACAGCACTCACAGGCTAAATCAACTCAAAAAAAAATAGTCGAAAAAGTTGGATAAGACAGACTTATCGGACACACAATTTGTTACAGATAATCTTAGTTGATAGAAATTATCCTGAGTTCTTCAAAAGGTCATCATCCACATGATGCAGACTATTGTTATTATTTTTAAAATACATTCTTCTTAGCCACAAATTTCCTATTTATATTCACTGTGACAAAGATGAGAAATTAAAAAATGCTGTAGCGAATATTATAAAATAATTACTAGTCAATACTGTATAAGTGCGATTTCCAGTGGACACATAATTAAATGAGATAATTAAGAAAATTATTTCACATGAGTGTCTACTCACAAGTACAAAGATTAGAAGCATAACGGGTGGGAATATCAGACTCATTAATTGAAGACTATTTTAAATCAGATGACCTAATATTCACCAATCGCTTATTATTATTATTATTACAGTTATTACATCTTTTTTTTTTATCAGTACACGCTACTGTTCCATAGTCTGATCTACAGAATTATACAATGACTGATTTGAATGTTATTATTCTGTTTTTTAATTTGTTACTAAAATTTAATGTTTACTGGAATGGATTTGTAAAATATGTTGAATTTTATGGAGTTATTTATGAAAGTCTATTCAAGTAATTTAGATTTTCTTGATAATCTTTCCACAGATTAACAATATCTAATTTGAAATTTGTGAAAGTGGCAATTATGTAAATCTGTTAAAATGTAAATGTTCCAGTGGAAATATTGCTGTATTTAATTAATTTTTAAGCTGACTTAAAACTTCAAACTATATTCAGTATGTATGTTCACCTTTTGTGAAAATACTAGTTTTCCAATAATAAGCATATTACTATTTCATGTTTATGCTTGAACAAATCTGATCCCTTCTAATCATGTGCTACTTGATAACATATATCATCGAATTAACGTGTGTATTTGTGAAAAACAATCCCTTTACACATACCTCGGCTTAAGTTCATTTCACTTGTTAGTCACATGTCTTCACTATAGTTTTAGATCATAAATGAATGCCGTTAAGGTCATACATTTCTGCTTGTCAATCACCATCCAAGGAATCTCTTTCCATTTTATGCCTGAAAATCTCATCACAAAATTGGAAACCTATGAATGTAAATGATCAGCGTATAAATCATTTCTTATTATCATTAGATCCCTATGAATCGGCGAATTGGCGTAGAATTCTAAGAAGTCAACAATTCCCAATTTTCATATCTATGGTAATCATTCTTTATCCAGAATGAGACTTCTCCAAAGTTCAAAGACAGGAAATTAGGTCTCATAAGGCTCTTTTGAACTTCAGATTCAGTAACCAATTATGTACATTTGTAATTTCGATCAATTCGCGATATCATGCCACCATTATCCATTGTCACTGTTATTATTTATCTCACCCTCAACACGGTGAAATTCCACCTGTCATAGAGTCTCACTGAAACTCCTCAAATTACTTTTCGAAGTCAGTCACTCATAAGCAAATGATGATTTTGTTTATAGAGAAGGCTTTAGAGCTTTGATTCTTGCACTTGTAAATCAAGAATTGATTATATTCAGTCTTTTTTTTCACTCAGAAGATTTAGCTAGTTAAACAGTTTGGTCGGATCAGATAGATGGTTTAAAAATAATCATATTCTATCATAGACTTCATTTGTTATCAAAATATTAGCTGTAAACGGTTAAACTTTTGAAGAATAAATATCAGCGTTGTAAAGTTGTTTACATGCTTATATTTTCATAATAACACTTTCAAAAATGTTCCGTTTTCTAATCAGCAACGACTGTATTCAGCCCATGAACTTGAAAATTATTCACCGCAACTGTCAGAAAGTACTAAAAAATAATCTACTGCTCGTTTATCAAAATATTAAAATTGGTCACGAAAATAAAACCATCGTTCGACGTAGAATGGATTTGTGATGTTATTTCTATGATTAGTTTGTTTAGTGTTGACATGAAAATCATAACAGAATGGATAAGAATATTTATTATGCAAGATAACATTTATATTATCGATTTGTGCTTAAAAACAATGAATGATGGCACATCCTAACATGTTTCTGAAACATTATCAATATATATATATATGTATATATATATATATATATATATATATATATACTACTAATAGTACTTTTAAGAAATATGTTCATGTATTTCTAAAACAAATCATGAACTGTTATCTGTTTAGTAATTTTCGTACTAAAGAATAAACTGATAAATTCTTTAGGATATACAATGGATTTATTGAGTCTCATTACTTTTCAATCAGTTAATCACTATTTAAGTAAGAAAAGTAGGTAGAACTGATTACTAGGTAAAAACGTAGTTTAAATGCGAAAAGGATCATTCTACTTACTGGTGAAAAAATCTAATCATCACAAAACATCATCGAATGGTGGTTTTAATTATAAAGCCTTCCAAAACATAATAATTGATCGATGATTAAATGAGTAATTAAGAAATAGGAATTGGAACCTACGGACAATAGAAATAAATTTATGCTAATATGAAATGAATGTACTCACCAATTAATCAATGAATACTAGCTGGTGTCATAATTTATGACTTCTTAATGTTGACTAAATACATTCTGGTCTCTAGTCAAAGTGACTTGGTACAATGATATTCTTCTAGGAGGTTAGAAAAAATATATGAGTAGCCATAGACCTAGATTTTCGGCATTTGTTGCTACTCAGTAGTCACTCGGTGTAGAACTTCCAGTCTTATGAAAGGCAAGTTGTAGTCCGTTACAAAGTTTCGAATGATGAAATTGAGGGGAACATGCATTTTTCCAAGATATGATATCAAGAAAAGTTCATATCTGTCGATTAATTTAAATAAATAGGAAAGCATGATTAAACAGAGAACATCATTTAAAATCAACACCAAAGCATTTAAGACATGACATTAGTTATTATTCAGTGATAAATCACTTAAACATTCTGATTCTACTGGAAGTTAGCGGCTACTTGAACAACTTAGAGCTAACAGTTCAGATTTCATGACAGGCTGATATGAACTTAAGTGTCAAAGAGAACATAAATTCGTGCAAGGCTATAAGTATGCCTTTCTGGAAAGGCAATATTCACCCACAGCCTTACCAAAGACTGAATCATAAATATTTAGGCTTTGTGGTTAGTTCTTTATCTCTAAACCTCTGGATTGTTACTCGGTACTTTACTTTTCCGAATTCAACCAACTGAAGATTGTGTAAACACCCTGCTGACGTAATACTCAATATTTTTATATCAAAATATTTCGAAACTTCAAGATAACTAGATAATCAAAGTTGTCGTGATCTTTTATAAGAAGAAATACAACTACCAGGATAGTTATCATCATGATTGTTTATATGAGCACAACTTGACTTTCGAAAATCACAACATATCTTTATCTATACCAGTACATAGAGACAACTGCAGAGACCATATTCTCCCTGACAAACTTTGAAATCCGAGACAGATATAACACTTACTAGACTACGGAATTTCTAGAATCTTGCCATTGAGGCTCGTCAATAAACAATAAACACATTAAAATCGACCCAATTTATTTACGAGTGAAAAAAATTGTCAGGAAGCTATAAGATGAAAAATCAAGTCAAAACAATCAAAAAGATATCTGTTGACAACTACTCATCAATCGTAAAAACAATACAACAAGTTACTAATCACCAGTCATGAAATTCTCATGGGTCAACTGCATCTTTAGTTAGTGCTGATAATGTTCTATAGAAAGACAATGAAAGTACGATTAATTCTATAAGCTCTTAGAACTCTTAGATCTAAGTGATAACTGGTGAGTTATCATTTCAGTTAAGAATATATATACACATATATATATTGGATTTTTCAAGCTATACAACAGTTTAATAACTACTCATCTACCAATTAGTCTTTGATAAGTTTATGATGATTATGAAGTTGGAAAACAATTTTCACATAAAATAATCTTCATGATCAAATGATCATGCATAAATGTATGATTTTTCTTCTTCCTTTCAGAGTAAACTGTATGCTTTAAAAATAGCAAAATTGAATAATTTAATTTTAATCAATGGGCAAGTCTGTCGATTTATTCATTGATTAGTTTATTGTCATTGGTTTCGATTCAATATCTATTTGAAATATAAATTTATTCATATTTCATAAGCATACTTTATATTTATTAAGGTTACTTTAGATTAATCTAAAAACAGTATTATCATGTCTATTATGTATTTAGAGACACTTCAAATACTCCTAAATGTACTGAAGCTTAATGTTTAATACAACAAACATATGTAAGATAATTTTAATTTGATGAAAACCAGCTATTCCAGGGTAGATTTCTTCGTAAATCAAAATGACATAAGAAATGCCTCTAAATTGGAGATGAACATGATCATCAACATCTTGTGGCGTTAGACTTTCGGCATCCTTGATTTCCCGTATATCTCCGTCTTGATGATCGCTACGAGAGAACACGAGTCGCTGCCACAATTTCTTTATTATTCAAATTATTTAATGATCGATACAAATATCGGATTTAATTCAAATTTGTATAGTCCATATTGACATCGAATTATTCAAACTGTTAATCGATGCAGCTAGTCAAATAACTATATGTGCAGGTGGCAAGTAATGCCCAAGTGTACATGCGTATACACGCTCAACAATGATAAAAGTAGAAGATATATGTGAGGTGCTATAAAATCTTATGAGTGGTTTGAAAGTAAACTTAAAATGTTGTGGTTATCTTAGGCCAGTGTTAAATTTGACTAAAATCGCTAATCATTTTCCGTGAATTCATGAAAAGCTACGTGATGACTTTCATCATTGATTCTGGGGGTCAAATTAATGTTTTTCTATGAAACATTTATTTAAAAAGAAAAGTAAAAATAATATATACACCAAGATTGGAATGCACTTAATAGAAATCCTTTTATTATTACGGAGGATAGTTTGGTAATGACTAAAATACGTTTACAATGCTTAACTAAACCTATACATCATTAATCGATAAATGAAATGCGATGATATGACTTGGACAATAATTAATGCCTAACTCATCACTCTGAATTGTTGGTATAGGCTCGTTCTTAATGGAAAATACATTAATAGATGACAGAGCTGACCAGCAGAGGACATGTTCTCGTCCAACAAAAATAATGCGCTTATGTACAAAGTGTGGAATATAGGACTAAAAATCAAAATCATTTAACAATGAGGATTTAAAAACTGTAGGTCATTCACTTTCTAAAAGAATTAATGCCTTACAATCAGATTTAGTTGTTACCACATTACAAGAGTGGTAAGAAACAGTCACAGTTTAATTTTCAATAAATAATATCACATTGTTTCTTGTGTTCATCATAGTTATGATCATCCACATATTTTGGCTGGACAGGGCACTGTTGGCTTAGAAATCTTAGAACAAGTTCCTGATGTGGATGCTATCATCGTACCAGTTGGTGGGGGTGGTTTACTAGCTGGAATTTGTGTAGCAGTTAAATCTATTCGACCAGAAGTTATCATAATTGTAAGTTGATTCCAGTGAAATATTTGTGAAATACGACAAAACTGTCTTAGTTTTTAAAAAAAGGAACATTATCTATCATATTACTGTCAGTCTGGAGTGATGGAGATTGTAGAATTTCATTTCACTAAGCAGAGTGCACCCGAGACGTAAAGCCCCGAGTTCAGTTCTTGTATGCGGGGTTGTGAATGCATATTTCTGTTCTTCCAGATTTAAATCATGTCATGATTTAAAGGTGTACGAGATTTATGTGTCAGTAGGATTGTTCTGTTGATCGTACCCCTTCAAAAAGTGGGTCGTTTACTGATGAAACTTTCATTGTTCATGTGAATAGTGTCTTAAGTGTAAACTTCTAAAAGAACTATGTGATAAAAAGTTTTTCCATTGAAATCCCAAGGAAGTTTTACTAGTTTATATGTACATACATACAAGTGTATCATTATGAATAAGGACGTTAGTAATAATAATAATAATGACAGTTCAGCTAAGTAGAAGGGCTTTTTGTTTATGTTATATCATCAAAGCAAACTACAAACTATCAAATGTTTAAAATTAAGGAATCACTGTATATTTTTCAGTTTATTGCTCCATACTTTTTTCACAATGAAACTGGATATTACTGCATTAGTTAATAGAATTTCCCTTCTTCTATTTCCAGAATGTTGTCAGTTCAATCCTAACAATCCTGTACTTAACTAGTCAGTTACTGCAAGATAGAAAACAGTTGAAAAGGTTACTTTTCACAATCTACAACGTTCTGTAACTTCTATCTAAATTAATAATAAGCTTCGGTCCTTCGAACAAACTGAAGTACAAGTTTGTCAGTTAGTTAGTTTCAGAAAGACCTCAAATAGCATCGATGTCAACTCCTGTATTTACTGCTTAGTGATTTTAAGAAACTTTTCTCAAAGAAACTCTTAAATGCCATTAAACTGATGGCTAAAATGTAACGGAAATAAGAGATTTGTATGACAGAATCACTTGAAGCAGAGTCCCTATAGTGGATGACTAGCACTTATTTCAATTACATGGATGTTATGGTTTTTGCACTTGAAGGTTAAATAAATACTAGTGAACTACCATTGTGATAATTTGAATGAATGGAATGTATTTAATCGATATCTGATAATAAATCTATTGTCGTAAAACAGAACATAAGTTAACAAGTTTAATATTGTATATTATGATAACCAGTTAAATCAGTAATTATAAATTAAGAATCATTTTCATCTTGTTGTTATGTCATTTAAATTTCAGGGTGTAGAATCCAATCGTTGTCCTGGTTTTCACGAAGCTATGCTGGCTGGTCAACCAGTCTACACAGAAAATCGTCTATCATCGGCAGATGGTAAGGAATTTTTAATTAGTATTTTACTTTGTTTTTTTTTAATCAAATAGATCACTGGTAAATTTTTCTTTCACACTCAACTCAAACGACACATATTAGAAAATGATGTTATTCGAAGTTCTAATAAGTTAATATTGATTTTAACTACTTCATTGATCTTTCTTGCAAATCAGATGTAGACTTGCTTAATAGGAATCAAAAATACTTGTAATTCCTTGATTAGGTATTTTTATATCTTGCGTTCGCCTTTATTATGCCTGTGTGTTGTGGCTGTTATATAAATGTTGACTCTGTTGGATCCGTAATCCTATAACTTTACTCGAATATCAGAAACCACTGCGATTCCTCGACCCTTCTGCTTATACATTGAAACGAGAATCACTACGATTCGCAACACGCAAAGTTAGAACACGAGAGATCGATGTAATGAAGATTTAGTGACTTTTGAATAATGCGTCCCCCTAACAGGTCCCAAAATCACATCGTTCTAAGACCGAAATACAATCATTCACTTACCAATTTTTACACACATTAATATATCACATACAGGGGAAATACACAGAGTAACTGTAACGAAACACACTGAAGAAAGTATACCTTAATTGATACAGGAAATAGAATTATCACACTGAACGAAAATTCACCAAGTTTACACCGAACTGATAGGTTAAATGCTAAGCGAATTTCACACTTGCAACTCTAGCAGAAATTCATAATGAATTATTAAAAAAATTGTTTTCCTAACTATTGTCATCGTATTATTCCTATAATATCAAGTATTCTCAAAAATCATTGAGTAGTAGCCACTTGACAACGTAATACACTTGATCGATTCATAACTAGTGCATTCAAGGTGACTTAAAACTGAATTTTTATTTTTATTTTTGTTAATTTTAATCTAATTTCATTTAGTTCAACTATTAGGCAATACACGATTTCTGTTGAATATCTAAATTAACTCTCATCAGTGTTGTTGTCATAGTATGATTTAACAAGTCTAGACTTGTTCCATTACTAATCAAATAGTTTGTTTATTGTAAAGCTTCTATAGATTTGGTCTTGTGATTCTATTAAATTTATTCTATGCCAACTGGTATCATAATGACTATATCAAAGCTAACCAACCATACAAGATGCCCGCATACCAATCAAGGCGGATCGGATTTCAGTCAAACATATCAACAACTGGATATTATGCACTAGTGCAAGCTGAATTAAATTCTAGCTGTAATTTGAAATTAATCATAGGATTTATTTCATTAATTAACGAGCTTTTAGGAATTGAACAAAAACAAACGAAATATATAAATGAAATCATCAACAGTATAAGTGATTCAGTTTTATTTTTCTATCAATTGTGATGTAGATATCTTAAAAGAAACCCTATACTTATGCCAAGTATTCATTGGTTAATTGATACTAAGATAGTAGAGGAAGTTTGTAGCACAGGTGGATGATGGAGTTTCGTTCTATTTGGTTATCAAGCTTTGATTGTTCTTCTGAACATCATCATCATCAGCACAAACTTCAAGTACAAGTGAAGTATTTGAATTTCCCACATTTTAGTCGTAGCTTGTTCTGTTGACTTCAATACTGTTTGTTTGTGACTGGCTGTTAACCTGTCATTGTCTGCCTCTTTATTTTGATTGTATCCCTCTTTGATTTGGTTCTTCATTTTTTTTTTTGATTGGTTAGCGAATTGAATCGATGCCAATATGTTTGTTGATTGCTGATTAACCTGAGTGCCAAGTTACTAAAAATTTACTCGTGTTATTTGTACTTCCTCTATTTGATGTTTCAATAATTTTCCAAATGAATGTATGACCACTGTTAACCGCATATATGGATATAAGGCAAGAAATGTTTTATTATTTGACTGCTAATTGATGTTCACGTAGGCGAAGTCAAAAAGGGCGTCCGATGTAGAGGTATAGTCAAAATAAAGAGGCAGACAATGCCAAATTAGGGGTCAGTCACAAACAATCACAATCGAAATCAACAGAACAAGTTACGAGTTATACATGGAGAAATTCAAGTAGTTTACTCTCATATGAAGCTTGTGCTGATGTTTTCCTGAAGGAGAACAATGAAAGTTCCATAGCCAAAGTATCCAGCTCAGAAAATGAAACCCCACTATAATTTTATTTATACCGTCAATTATATTAAGTAAACCTAATCCTCTGCTTGATGCTTTAATACCTCTAGTTCAATTGAATAATTTCAGCTACATATACGTATGACTTGATAAATTTATTCGTAAAATTTAACTTATATCGTTTGGTGTTTTCAATAAATCCTTTTTTCCTCTTACAAGGTTTAGCTGTTTCTGTAGTTGGTGTGAATTCGTTTGAAACAGCTCATAAATTAGTTGACAAAGTGATAACTATTGATGAAACATATATATATCGTGCAGTTGTTCGTTTATTAGAACTTGAGAAATCTGTTGTCGAATGTTCAGGGGCTACTTCATTATCTGCAATTATGGCAAATATGTTGCCTGAATTAGTCGGAAAAAAGTGAGTATATACAAGTTTATGGTGTATTACATTTAATGTGATTTTATTTCATGTCATACTCATAGCATTTTAATTATTTTAGTTGATATATGCTGCACTTAAGTTGTAAATCAGGAAAGAACATAATCGGATAGATTTATTGTAGGATAAAAAATGCAAGTGCTTCAATTCATCAGTTATGCGCGAACGCCTAACCTCTGGACCACTAAGCCCGTATCTAACAGTGTTAATGTCTAACTTGATCAATGGACGGAGTTGCGCAACCTCATACACAGTCTTCGGTAGTTACTGTCTACACCCGAACAGGTTGAACTTCACTGGTCACGACTTCCCACTAGAATTCAGAGAAGATTCCTTAAAAAGCTAGTCACTAATGAGTACAGGTAATTTGCAATACGTGTTTGTGAAGATTGTTAAGTTTCACATTTTTGAAACCATGGGTTCGAATCCTGCGGGGTACAGGAATTGTGGATGCGCACTGCTGACGAGTCCCATGCTAGGACGAAACGGCCGTTCAGTGCTCCCAGGTTTTTAATGGTGGTCTAACAATAATCGATTCATGGTTTCGAAAAAGAGAATATGTCAGCCAATTTATCCATGAGATCGGTTTACAGTATACCAACTGTCAACTAGGTAGAAAAGTATTACCAAATATTCAGCCATTAAAACAAGCTTGCCTAACACTGTAGATGGTGACGATCATTATCTCGCTCTAATTTCATCTAATTACTAAAAATTATATTCAGTCTGTCAACATAAAATATTATTAAACTATGACGGCATAGGTAGATCTCTTGTAAAGACTAGTAGATTCTGTGACTTTACATCTGGGTGAACTAAGTGTTAAACTACTCCTATGTTATTTCGTAAAACTACTATTCATTTATTCGTCTTAATGATTTAGTCAAACGATCTAAACCTCAAAATGACAAGTAAAGTGATTGTCTGAATGTCAAACGATTGTCTACAATGATGTGTGAAAAAAATGTACTAAAATCAACGAAGAAATTTACTTATTACGTTAATCAGCAACAATTTATTTCCATTCTTCCTCATGTTTTAGAGTTGTATGCCTTTTAACTGGAGGGAATATTGATATTCCAACGTTGAATCGTGTCATTGACAAAGGATTAGCATTGGAAGGTCGTCTGTGTCGATTTACAGTTGTTTTAACAGATCAACCTGGAAGTATTGCAGAACTATCCCTTATTTTGAAAGAAAACGGAGTTAAGTAAGCTAACATTACAAATGTATTCATTCTCAAACATCATAATGTTTATGAATGTTACATTTCATCTCATAACATGTTATCTTATTGAATATATCACACAGCGAAGAAAAAAGTATTAAATAGATAGTGTTTGTGAGAACAATTTTTAATCTTAGCATTAACAATTGTCACTAAAAACGGAAATTTATAGGAGTACAATATAGGGATGAGCCATAAATATTCTTGAAATTGCCACTACTAATTGGAGCCTGTTGTTGGTCAATTAAAAGACCGTTACTGTAAAAGAAAAGCTTGTGGAAACAGCAACAATACCATAAGATTTATTTAATTAGGGAATTTATTAGTCTTTTACAGAACGAAATCAATGACATATTATTTTTTAGTTATAGAGTTGTAGAGATTGTTGAGTTTTATTGACCTTGAGCGGACTACTGATGAGTCCCAAACTGTGACGAAACAGCCATCCAGTGCTTCCAGATTTCAAATGGTATTCTCACATTGATCAGCTTATGACTTCAATAAAACATAAATTAGTTCTTTTCATCATAAATCATTCGTTTTCAAAAGCCCTCTCGGAGTACATTGATTGTTTTTGGTCAGAGTTAGAGCTAGGGTTAGAGTTGATTTACTTTTCATGTGCATTAAACATAAAAAGATGTAAGTAGTTGATTCGTTTAAAACTATTTTTTGAATTCTTTAATGTTAAAAAAAACTAATTTCCCATTATGGTTTTTAATGTTTCCAGAACCATATATTGGTATGTTTATTGATTATTTTACATAACTTACACTGAAAGTTATTTCCAAAGTTCACATTCACGTATTTTTGTACCTCACTTTTACCAAGAATTACCTAAAATAAAATTTCCTTAGTAAAAATATTTTAATCGTGTTTTAATGAGTAGCACAAATCTAGTTTAAAGCACATTTAGGAATTTAATGTGTTCAGTGTGTTAAGAGAAGCCTACACGCGACGTATCACTGGAGAACACAAGACAGTGATCTCACTGAGATAATATTGTTACAAGAAAGCCTAGTCTTAAATGGACTTTATTCTCTGTAGTACAGTACGTAATTTGTAATTATGAACATCTAGATCTTTAATTTAGGCTTATTAAACAACTGAAACACGATCTGTCGATGTTTCGATTGGTAAGTTTTTAGATGAACAATATTTTTGCCTTAATTATCTTGCAATAAACAGTATTTTTTTCATAGTCAAACAATAAATTATCATCCCGGATGAATGATATTAAGTGTTTTGCTTCTATTTTTTTTTGTTTCAACAAATAAAACGGTTGTTTTAAATAAACAAAATCAATTCGGAAAAAGGGTAAATATTGATAATTGATAGTTGGAATTTGTTGGGGACGTTAGATCCCCAGAACTCGCTTGATAAATGCCTTGTCTTGGATTTCACGTTTGCGAGCATCGGCTTATCAGTTGACCTTGATATTTCATTTCCCACCAGGAAAATCTATGGCTATGATTGGCTGCTGTGTATTTTAGTGACTCTCCCAAGGACGTTTCTATGATGTATAATAAACGAGAGTTGTGTGCTTGATTGCATTGTGCTCCCTGTGTGTTTGTAGAATATACTTTCTACACTATAACAAGACTTCTGTTTTGCTGTTTTCGCATCAAGGTAGCCTACCTGGACGCTGGTTGATTTTCTTGTTCTCGTTTATCGACTAAGGTGAACCCGTGATAGCTTCAAGCGTACCTAGTGACGAACCTAACAGAATTTAATTTCCTTTTTAGATAGTTATTTGTTAAGAATATTTATTCAAAATTACATTTAAAAATAAGTTACTTTATATCGCTATTAGTTCAAATTGTCAATTAATTCGAATTACTCAGTTTGCGAATCCTACAGTTACTACTCAGAGTTTATATGAATATCTTGTTTGTAAGTTTTTGGGAATTGTAACACTGATACATGCATACATTGAAATGCATCAAGTTTACTTGTCAGTCAGCTACTTATTCTTCTATATAAGAACATTGCCCAATTTATTTAATGTTTATCTGAATTATTACTTCAAAACATTTATAACTCATAAGGCTGTGAACAATGTTAGCTGAATCATGAGTAATTAAGGAGTCCAAATGATACAAACAACTCATACGATATTGGTTAAAAAATTTGTTACCAGTGAATTCTGTAGTTTGAGATGGTGAAGCAAATTTACACCTCCAGTGGATGATTGTGGTGGAATTTGGTTCTCTGAGTTGGATATTTTGGTTGATTTATAGCCTGTTAACATTAAAATCTACTAACTAGGTTCATAAATCTTTTTTTTCTTCTGATCAACTGATTTCTTCATAGATTTGTTACTGTTCTCTCTTTATAATATACCACCTACCACCTAGCATAAAAGACATCAGTTATGATCGTATCTGGTCAATATCAAGTATACTACAAGTTCAAGTGAAATGTATCTGTGAAATACGCAATTTTTCACATGGTATCGACTTAGAACATACGCTAAAAGCAAAATATAAAGATATAATCTGGGGATAAGAATACGTCCTTGTAACCATATTGATGATAGATTTCAGTGTTGACATTGACTAATTTACACCCTATGCAATATGAATAATTGAATATTTTGTTTTTTTTTCTCTTCACTGTAACATTCAAATAACTTCACATAAATGTGCATAAAAAAATATTTTGATTTTCCGTCCTCTTTTTTTTCCCTTTAGAACATTAGTTAATGCCTTTATTTTTCTTTTTTTGATAAGATTAATTTGTAATAAAGATTCAATGTAAATAGAACTTTGTCTATTAGCGTTTTTTTGCATATTAAAATCTTTTTTTTGACAAGCAATAGCTTTTAAAACAACACAGAATATACACAACATATTACTTGATTAATTGTGAGCTGAGTGTTTTTCGAAAGAAAACACTCAACTTATTTCTAATAGTATTTAAGGGGGAATGTAATTTACAATTATTAGCTTTTAATTTATGCGGCTATTGGTCAAAATTTGAACGAACTGTTTGACGGAAGGGAATTAACTACCAAGTACACAGATAACGTTCGATGTAAAAATAATATTCTATCTGAAATGTGAATAATTCCAAAGTTTCACCTACAACACTGATTCAAAGATTTTCGCGTAATTAAATAAACATCCAAAGTCAATAGACTTATTTTAAACACCTTATTTATAGATGATAATTTTGATTGTTTCTTTGAAAAAGATCGGGCTAACTTTCTGGATGAAATGTCTGAACTACTCTCGAATTACCATTGCTAAGATTATTTCAAATATAATTTGTACATATAATATCAATATGTTTCAGGATCAAATTCTGTCCAGCATAATTCAATTTGGGAAGCGCAATAGAAGCAACAATAATCCTCATATAAATTAGATTCATTTACTTGCTACTTCACGATTCAAGCTCTGTATTCTGCTAAATGTCCATCAAAATTTCAATCATTTTTATTTCGGAAACAGAATCTACAAAATCTACCTACATTGTGCTAATATTTATTCAAACAAGGGATGTTTGACTGAGATCTGTTTTAAAACTATGAGTTAACCATACGTACATTTTCACACACTAGTTCCAGATTCCTAAATGGTATAAACTCTGTGATAAGTCGCAGAAAAATGATTAACTGAAAATTAGTGGAAGTTGAGAAGCGAAATTCTCTTCATCGAACTCTCGATTTGATATTAAATATAAACTACAGAACTGGAAGATATTTTATTCACTGGACACTGATTCGATATTTACTTACGTACTTATGCCTGTTATCCCTGATGGAGCATAGGCTGAAAACCAGCATTCTCCAATCTACTCTGTCCTGGACTTTCCTTTATAGTTCTAACCAACTGCAGTTCATTCTATTCATGTCTGTCTCCGTTTCTCGGCGTAAGGTGGTCTTTGGTCTTCCTCTTTTCCTCTAGCTTTGAGGATTCCAGGTTCGGATTTGTCTTCTGATGCAGTTGGCTGATTTCTGCAGTGTGTATCCTATCTACCTTCAGAGCCTTTTCCTAATTACTTCCTCTGCTGGAATCTGGTTTTTTCTCACCCACAGTAGGTTGTTGTTGATGGTGTCTGGCCAATGGATCCGAAGTATTTTGGTTAGAAAACTTTTAGCAAACACTGTTAACGACACAAATTACGTGGCTTTGTTACCATTCACTTGTTTTAAAAAAAGAAATTTGAAAAATGCTGCCAAATAGTTGATGCTTGAGAATTAACTGGAATTGGATCAACTAAAATCGAGCGAAGATATTTTCCAACGAATGCATAAGTCATTGATAATCTCTGTTTATTGGAACTCAGTTGAAGCCTGCCAGGAATTATCTCTATTATTGATTTGTGTCTTAGTAAGTCAAACTAGATTTGTTTTGATGCAGTAACTTGTTTTACCAAAGCCAATAGATGAACAGTTTCTGAATAGTCTGTGACAACTGTAACAGATATATAGGATACTAAGATGCTTTTTGCCTCTTACTGGTATTATGCTGAATGTTTGAACAGCAACTAGTTTGTTATAAGATACCATAGTTCCAACTGAATTTTTCTGTAGTCAGTCAGTTACTCTGTAAAAATTAGAAACGTTCTTATTGATAGAATGACGATTACGTTAGTATTTCTCGATATTCCCTTATCTTTCTATGTGACCTAACATTGATATAATTCATGACTTTTAACTCAACTGTATGAAAATAGTTACATCCACATTAAATAATAAATATTTTTAAATGTTAAACGCGTGTTTCACAGTTCATTTCAGAGGATATGATTTATAGGTGGTTAAAATCACTTATTAGTGATTTTCATTCAATTCTTATTATTATAAGCAATCAACATCATCAAGATTTCATTACTACTCTAGACTACTACTGTAGTACGTACTACTTACAATGAAGCATGTAAGTAGTATGCAGCGGATCTTCAGCAGAAGGTCATCCTGAGGTTACGGTCAAAAAGAAGAGTGTCAGATCCGGATTTATGGTGCAATCCAAGTGTTTTTTAGGCAAAAGAAGACATGTGCTGGAAGACAGTCAAAAATAAGCTTGTTTTGTAAATGAATGTTTTATGATAAGATGTGGCGTTAGACTTTCGTTATCCTTGATTTCCCGTATATCTCCGTCTTGATGATCGCTACGAGAGAACACGAGTCGCTGCCACAATTTCTTTATTATTCAAATTATTTTATGATCGATACAAATATCGGATCTAATTCAAATTTGTATAGTCCATATTGACATCGAATTATTCAAACTGTTAATCGATACAGCTAGTCAAATAACTAACTATATGTGTAGGTGGCAAGTAATGCCCAAGCGTACATGCGTATACACGCTCAACAATGATAAAAGTAGAAGATATATGTGAGGTGCTACAATAGCTCCCTCCCAGCAAACAAGGATACAGAAGTGTCTGTGTTTGCGAAAAAAACCATTCGAAAATATCAAAATTTTGCTATATCTAGTCGTTCGTGGACTTTCTTCACTCTTTTGTGTTGATGTCGCTGATGGTTGTAACTCGCATTTCGGTGATTCGATGGCTTGCGAAGGATTCGTACTCATCACCTGTTCGTCACTTTCAATAAAAGCTGGTTTGACTCGGTCGACGCTAACTACATCCGTTTTTCCAGCTTTATCAACTGTAATAGTTTTATCGATTTTTTTTAATTACTCTAAATGGACCATCGTAGGTCGGTTGTTAGGGACGTTGCACATTATCTCTCCTGATAAATACATGGGTACTGTCGTTCAGTTGTTTCGGAATATATACCCGATGTTGATCTTTCTTCGGAAGCGTTATTCTAAGATCATTCATGTGTTTTTTTAGACGATGTACGTAGTTGGCTATATCAGCTGGAACACTTTTACTTGAGGTGAAAAAGTCTCCTGATAGACGTAGAGTAGTTCCATAAACTAACTCTGCAGGGCAACATTCAATATCTTGTTTAATTGTCGATCTTAAACTCAACATGTCTAATGGAAGCTTGCTGACCCAATCATTATTGCTGATAACAGCTGTGAGAGATGCTTTCAGTTGGCGGTGTAATCTCTCTACCATACCATTTGCCATCGGATGGCAAGATGTGCGTTTACGTTTAATGCCGAGAAGTTCTGTAAGTTGTTGAAAAAGGCGACTTTCGAATTGGGCTCCTCTATCGGTTGTAATATTAGCAGGCACTCCATAATATGAGATCCAATGTTCAACTAAGGTTTTAGCTACGGTCTCTGCTGAAATATCTTTTATGGGCACTGCTACAGGCCACCGAGTGAATCTCTCGATGCAGGCAAAAATATAAGTGAAGCCATTTGAAATTGGCAGTGGTCCCACAATATTGATATGCATATGCTCGAACCGGCTGTCCGGATGATGGAAAGGACCTACTGCGGATCTTGTGTGACGATGAACTTTAACTTTCTGGCATTTTATGCATGCCTGCTTCCAGTTACGAACATCTCGATTCATACTTGGCCATACAAAACGCTCGCTGATCAGACTGATCGTTGCCTTAATTCCAGGATGTGATATATGCATAGTTTCGAAAACTTTTCGTCTAAACGGCTTTGGAATAAACGGTCGTGGTCGGCCTGTAGAAATATCACACATTAGGTTTACCCTGCCGAATGGAGTTTCTCGGAGTACTAAAGAAGTTGTACTGGATGATCTTAGCCTGCTTAGCTCAACATCCATATTTTGCAACGCTGCGAGTTTGTGATAGTCAATGTCGGATTGGATGAGAGCATTGACCATCGTTCTTGATAATGCATCTGCTACTTCGTTATTATGACCTTTAATATAGTGTATGCTAGACGTAAATTGGGAAATAAATTCCAATTGTCGAATTTTCCTCGGTGAATAGTTGTCGTGCTTGGCGTTTAATGCTTTCGTGAGAGGTCTATGATCTGTGTATACTCTAAAAATAGTGCCCTCAAGCATATGTCGAAAATGCTTTATTGCCAAATATATTGTTAGCAGTTCTCTTCCGAACGTACTGTATCTCGTTTGTGTGGGACTTAATGTTTTAGAAAAGAATGGAATTGGTTCCCATGGGTCGTTTACGAACTGCTGTAACACGGTCATACAGCGATGTCCGACGCGTCAGTCACGACGGCTAAGGGAGCTTCGTTTTTTCGTCGTACTAACATTGTCCTCTCATTTAGCAAGCGCTTAGCGTTCTCGAACGCTTGTATGGCATCTGCTGACAAGTGGAATTTTCGGGCACGTCCTCGCAAAGCGTCTGTTAATGGCTGCAATACTGTTGCGCAATTTGGAATGAATCGTCTATAATAGTTAATTAACTCGAGGAATCGTCGTAATTTCTTCTGTGTTTCGGGCAGCGCATGTAGGATTTAATTTGTCCTACAGATGTAATTCTAAAACTTAAACGCAAATGCCACCGATGACAGAATCCAGAGTGAAACTATAGTTAACAGAAGACAATTTGGTTTTAAACTTTATCTGTTTCTAAACAAAAGAAGACGATTAATTTAGTACAATAAATAAGGAAATTACAATTATCAAGCAAGATCAGCAAACGTACCGGACAGTATAGCGTGTCTTTAGAAAATGAATAAAAAACATGTGTCACAGCAATATAAATAAATAGCAACATCCTTCAATTGATAGACCATTCACATCAAAGAAAGTTTACAGACAGGTCAGACCATATA